GTGTTGGAGGTCCAGCTAGCGATGCAGACGGCGAGGCTTGAGGAGAGGAGGGCTCAGGATGCAGACAAAAGGGAAAGCCACCCAGCTCGCCAGAAAGGTACCAGGATTGGTGCAGAAGTTTGGGGGGGAGCCCAAAGACTATCATGGCTTTCGGACAGAGATGCAATATGCCCTCAATCTGCAGTTTGATGATTCCCTGACGAGGAATCACGAGTGGCTTTCGTGATTGAGCATCTTGAAAAGGGGGCGAGAGACTGGGTTAGACCCCTGATGGCAGCGAATAGTGACGTCCTAAAGGACACGATGAAGTTCTTTCGCGCCATGGATCTGATGTTTTCCAGCGATATTGAACAGGGAGTGGTGCGCAGACAGTTAATGGCTTGCAAACAGGGGAGCCGATCTGTCCGTGAGTACTGGACTGAGTTCACCATGCTGGTTTACAGATTGGGGTGGGACTTATCGGCGGAACCCATTCAAATGCTCTTTGAAGAAGGGCTTTCTTCGGCTGTGAAAGACGAACTTTCCCGGGCGCCCAGGGCGGAGTCTATGGACCAGCTGACCAAATCAGCGCTGACCATAGGAGCGCGCCAGGAGGCGAGAGCATTGGAGAGGCGGGAAGGGAAAGGGGAACGTTGGAAGGAGTTCCGCATTCCAGACATTCCAGAGCCAACTTTCCCGCCGGCAGAGCCGATGGAAATCGGAACAGCGGCGCGCGCGCAGTTTCAAAGCCCAGTGAGGGGGGAAAGAAGGAGGGAAAAGGCGCCCGGAAATGCTATCTCTGCCAACAGCCAGGTCACTTTGCCAGAGTCTGCCCCCAGAGGAAGGAATGGCAAGGGATGGTAGGAGCTGTTGGGAGGAGAAGTCAGCTTGCAGACCGTCCCAATGATAATGAAGGTAGCAAGGCACACCGAACTGATAGCTTTTAATGTGGCCACCTTGGGAGGAGCTCCCATTATATTGGGGATGAGCTGGCTAGCGTTACATGATCCGCTGGTGGGCTGGCATCAGAGAGTGGTTTCTTTTGGTTCAGCACATTGCTTAGAACACTGCAAAGAGGGAAAGGGTTTGGCAGGGGCCCAAGCTACCCTAGCAGGGACTGAAGTAACGGAAAACGTGAAGGTACCACGACAATATGCAGATCTCTGTGACGTCTTCAGCGAAAGGGAAGCTGACCAACTACCCCCGCATAGACCCTTTGACTGTCAAATCAATTTACTCCCTGGGGCACAGCTCCCTGTAGGCAAGCTGTACGCCATGTCAGACAGAGAGATGCAGGAGCTAAGAGAGTTCATTGACAAGAACCTGAAGAGAGGGTTCATCAGAGAGTCCAGGGCGGTGGGGGCAGCCCAGTGTTTTTTGTGGATAAAAAACACGAACAAGCCGAGGCTGGTGTGTGACTTCAGGGCCTTAAATGCAGTGTCAGAACCAGTGGCCTTCCCTATGCCCAGGATTGACGACATTTTGACAAGGGTGCGGAAGGGAAAGATTTTCACAAAGCTGGACCTAAGGGGGGCGTACAACCTGGTACGAATAAGGAAGGGTGATGAATGGAAAACCACCATGTTCACCCCTTTAGGGGCATTTGAATATTTGGTTATGCCCTTCGGCCTCCAAGCAGGCTCCGCAACCTTTCAATCGTTTATGAACCACGTCCTGGGGCCTTTGCTTTACAAGAATTGTGTGGCCTTCTTAGACGACGTGTTGGTGTATTCTGAGAATGAGGAGCAGCATGTGAGAGACGTCAGAGAAGTGTTGAGCAGGCTGCAAGCCAACCAGCTGTGGGTGAAACTGGAGAAGTGTCAGTTTCATACCAAGGAGGTGGAATTCCTGGGGTATCGCCTGTCAGACAAGGGATTGGCCATGGATCCCGGCAAGGTCCAGGCGGTGCTGGAATGGAAAACACCCAAAACAAGGAAGGATGTGCAGAGGTTCCTAGGATTTGGGAACTTCTATCGTAAGTTCATCCGAAACTTTGCCCACCTGACGGCGCCCATTACGGACTGTCTCAGCAGTAAGAAGAAGTTCGTTTGGACTGAGGAGGCGGAGCGAGCATTTGAGGAACTAAAAAGGGCCTTCGCCTCGGAACAACAACTCCTGCATGTGGATTTACAAAAACCGATGAGAGTGGAAACTGACGCATCAGACAGAGCGATTGGGGCGGTGCTTCTGCAGCCAGGGAAGGAGGAGTCAGAGTGGAGACCGTGTGCCTTTTTCGCGAAAGCTGAACAAATCCGAGAGGAACTACACGGTGTATGACCGAGAACTACTAGCCATTCATGAGGCGTTCCGGAGATGGAGGCACCTGCTAATTGGCGCACAACATAAGGTGCAAGTGTGCACTGACCACAAGAACCTAGAGTATTGGAGGACGGCACGAGTGCTCAACCAACGGCAAGTGAGATGGGCCCAGGAGTTCTCCAAATTTAACTTTGAGATTTGTTACGTGCCAGGCCCAGAGAACATTAGGGCGGACGCTCTCTCACGCAAACCTGAATATTTGGAGGGGAGGAGCACCCGAAGAGAGACATGTCATTCCAGAGGACCGCTGGGTGTGTGGGGCGGCATTGGTGGGACAAAGAGAACTGGTAGAGGAAACAGAGAATGATGAATACGCCCAGAATAAGCTCAGAGGTCTTAGGGGTGAGGGAGAGGAACCTGGGGTTTCGAGGAAAGAAATGGAGCTTTGTATTACAAAGGGGCACTGTATATCCCTGAAGGAGACTTAAGGGGAGGGTACTCAAGCAGTTGCACGACAGCCCTACGGCGGGGCATTTTGGACAACACAAAACCATGTGGTTGGTCACCAGGGAATTTTGGTGGCCCAAGGTGAGGGAAGATGTACGTGAGTATGTAAGAGGGTGCGAGCAATGCCAGCGAGCCAAAGGGGAAAGGCGGGCGCCGGCGGGGCTATTAGAACCCTTACCAACCCCAGAACGACCTTGGGAGGCAGTGTCGATAGATTTTATGACTGATCTGCCGAAGTCCAAAGGGAAAACAGCCATCATGGTGGTGGTGGACCTGCTAACAAAGATGTGCCACTTTGTAGCTTGCTCGCATGCAGTCACGGCGGAAGAGACCGCGAAGTTATTTGTAGAACACATTTTTAGGTTGCACGGAGTGCCATTGAGGGTGGTCTCAGACCGAGGAAAACAATTTACTTCCAGGTTCTGGAGGAAGCTCATGAGCTTACTGCAGGTGGAGGTCAATTTTTCGACTGCCCGGCACCCTGAAACCAACGGGCAGGCGGAAAGAGCAAACGGTGTCCTCCAGCAATACCTGAGGTGTTATGTCAATGACAGAGAGAATGACTGGGTAGAAAAGTTGGCGCTGGCGGAATTTGCCTACAACAATGCCGAGAATGTGTCCACAGGGATGAGCCCCTTCTTGGCTAATTATGGGTGTCATCCCAGGGCTTTCCCAGGGGAGATGGGGAGAGATGGAGCGTCCCGGCAGCCGAGCATTTTGTAGAAGAAATGGAAGCAATCCATTGTCAGCTCCAACTCAACTTAGAAAGGGCGAAGGAAGAATACAAGAGGCAAGCAGACAAGAACCGAAGGGAAGGTGAAACCATAAGGGTGGGAGATAGGGTGTGGCTGTCAACCCAAGGGTTGCCGTTCAAAGGAGGGTGTAAGAAATTAAGACCCAGGAGGTTGGGTCCCTTTGAGGTCATTCAACAGGTCAACCCAGTGGCTTTCAGGCTCCGGTTACCCAACCACATGAAACTGCACCCAGTATTTCACAGGTCGTTACTGTCACCGTACGAAGGGGGACGAGAAGGGATGGCCACTCGGGACCGGTCATAGAAGAAAGAGAATGCAGCAGCCATGTGGCAGAAATCCTCGACGCCAGGTGGAAGGGGAATCAGGTGGAGTATTTGGTAGCGTGGGAAGGAGAACCGGAGTCAGAAAACACTTGGGTAATGGCCGAAGATATCAATGACGAGGTATTGATAGAAACGTTCCATCAAAGGTTCCCAAGGAAACCTCAGCCTGTGGAGAGGTTCCGGAGGGAATACTTTGGGACCACTGATGAGGAGGAGGAGTTGGAAGGCTTCCCGGACTCGGAAGGGGAAGGGGAGATGGACTCTGAGGAGGAGGAGTACTTCGAGACCAGGAACCGCAACAGGTGGAGAGAAGTGTTCGAGACATCGGAAGATGAAGGAAGTTCATTCCGGGTTTTGCCTCCTCACCGCCCGTAGAGGAGGGGGCGAGAGGGGGTGAAGGGGGCCCTGGAGGGGAGGTGGATGTCAGGGAACTGCCATCGGACGGAAGGGAGGTGAAAGGGCTCACACAGGTTGGGAGAGACTCAGCAGCTGAAGAGGGAACCAGTAGGGGGAGAGGAGCTGAGCTGAGGGAAAGTGAGCTGGAGGGATGGCTCAGAGACACTTCCAGCGAAAACAGTGGGGAGGTTTCAGGACCTCCTGTAGGGACACCCACTCCTCGCCGGAAACTGACACGCAGAGAGTCCAGAAGACGTGTTTCCGTTAAGGAGCTTTTATGTTGGAAGCGATTCCGAAAGCAACCACTGTCGGAATCTGCTAGTGACTAGAGGAGCCATGTCTGAGGGGCTCCATCACAGACAGAGGTTTGTGGACTTGAACAAACTCTGAGGGGATACGATTTTACGCACAAGCAGCTCATCATCCCATCACACAACCGTTGCAAACTCCTTGGAGGAGGGGCTCTCTGTACCTTTTGTTCTGCTACATGTAACACCCTCACCCCCAATTCTTGAGGACAGAGAAGGGAGAAGGAAACAGTGGAACTGGCAGGGACTGGAGATCTGTCACAGCCTCAACCTTCTCTTCCTCTTCAGTTGCCTCAAGTCTCACTTAAACCTGTTGCTTGCTCAGCCTCCAACCCGTCTGCACTCCCTCTTACCTGTCTCCTGCATCCCATCACCATTCTCCTGGCTCACAGCCTTTCCACTCTGATGCTTCCCTGGGGGGTTCCCTGGCTGTAGCCTCCCACCATTCCTCCTTGTCTAGCCAGTCCCTGACATCACCCCCCTCCAGGGTCCACCTCCTCCCTCCCACCAGTGATTGTGGCTTGTTCAGGTAGTGCGCATGAATTCCTTCTGAAGCAGTGGAGCATGGATGTCTTCCACACGCTTCCAGGATCTCTTGTCCAGTGCATAGCTTTTCCAGGCAACAAGATATTGCAGCCTTCCCCTCCTTTGCTAGGTGTCCAGGATTGCTCCACTTCATACTCCTTCTCTCCATCCACAATGATGGGTGGCGGGTGGTGCCTCTCAGGTTGATAGGGCTGTGCTGGCAAGGATAACAGGGATCTATGGAACACCAGGTGAATCTTCATGGAAGGAGGCAGGTGGAGGCAGAATGTTACTGGATTGATCTGTTCTACCACCTCAAAAGGACTGACATGCTGAGGATCCAACTTCCTGCATCTCCCTTTCTGCAGCTGGTCCCAAGTGGAGAGCCACATTTGATCTTGATCTCTGCTCCAGTTTTTCGGTGCGTGTCCTCCGTCTGCTTTGTAGGCTTCTTTGGCATGTTTGAGCTGCTCCTGCAGCAAGAGTTGCACGGCTGTCAAATCCTCAGCTATTGGCACTGAAAGCATGGTAGCTGAGGTGAGGAGGTTCATGGGTGGAATCCATAACTGGCAAAGAAAAGGGTCTGCTGCAAAGAAGCATGCAGTGCATTGCTGCAAGCAAACTCGGTCAAAGGGAGCAAAACCACCCAGGCATCTTGTTGATAATTGCCATAATAGCGCAGGTACTGCTGAATTGTTGCATTACTTCTCTTCACCTCTCCTTTTGTCTCCAGATGACTAGCTGAGGAGTTCCATTCCCAGAAGTTGTATGACCTTTTTACAGAACTGGAAGGTGAACTGTGTTCCTCTCTCAGACATGATCTTCTGTGGCAGCCTGTGCAGCCTGAAGACATGTTCTACAAAGAGCGGGACTTTCTCTTGGGCTCTTGGAAGTTCCTTACACGGCACAAAGTGCACCATCTTGGTGAACTACCATCCAGATCATGGCAAGTTTGGTAACTCAGTGATGAAGTCCATGGCTATGGTCTCCCAGGATCCTTGAGATGTGGGAAGTGGTTGTGGCAATCTAGCTGGTGCTCCTCGTGGCCGCTTGGTGTGCTGGCAGGTCTCACATGTGAGAACGTGCTCCTTGATATCCTTGCACACCCGCAGCCACCAGAACTTTTCGCAACAAGTGGTACAGGGTCTTGTGCGAAGTGGCCGGCGGCCAAGCTGTCATGGCACTGAAACTGTCATGGCTCTTGACACGAAACCGCCCAGCGGGCACATGGAGCGCCTCTCCTTGGTGCAGCAGGCTATCTTTCGCAGAGAATGCCTCCGCCTTGCGGCTTCCCTCCCATAGTGCTGCCAGCTTGTCTCTGGTAAAGGCACCTGCTGGTGTCTGTTGTTGAAAGTCAGTGGCTGCCATGGCAGGCCTCACCGCTAGCTGTAGCTGTGCTGGACACAGTATGTCTTGTGACCTGGGTGACCTTGAGCATTCAGGCAAACACTTCATTATTGACCTATGGCCCAGGTTGTGCCTTTCAGGTACCTGTGCTCTTGAAGGCTAGTGTCAGGGACTGGCTGGATGAGGAAGAGTGGTGGCAGCCAGTGGTCCAGGAAGCACCTGAGGGGTAAGGGGACTTGGAGGTGATTTGCCCTGGAATCTCAAGGGCTTCTTATGCAAGCATCCAGGCAATCAGAACATTGTGCTTCTGTCAGTGACATAGAGCTCAGCCTCCTGTGAGCTTGTTGGCTCTTGCCTCTCTCACAGCTTGAGGTGGGGCCTGCTTTCCTGCAATCCAACCTCCCACAGGATTGTTCTGGGGTAGCAAATTGTGACTGCTCTACTCCTGTGGGGGTATGTGAAATAGCTAAGTTTGCTAGACTCTGAGAACGTGTGTGTTTGTGTGTATATGTGTGTGTATAATATAATTGTTTGATTAATAGTCATTTTCACTCATCAGAAAACTCTAGAAACTATAGTTCTGGGAGGGGGCTAGGAAGTCTCCAGAAGAGAATTCTCAGTAACCTTGTCAAACTACAATTCAAAATGTGTGTGAGACGAGGAAGGGGGTGCCTGCCTGCCTGCCTGCCAGAACATAAAACACACACCAACTTATACAAGTTTGTAGCACAGATATGTTCATAAATGCTGTCCTTCTGCCTGTCTTCCTTTTGGCTATTCCCTGGTAGAAGAGTAATTCATTCCAAAGAAATTGGAAAACTGGGATTTGCTTCAGTAAATCTGGCTACCCATGGGATTTCTAGAGTAACCACATGCAAAAGGGGATGAGGCTTCCTGAGTGTTCCACCTTACTAGACAGAAGAGGGAATTTCTGCAGGTGTAGGTGCACCTGCTGTAGTTCCCTCTTCTACACAGGCAAGCACCCTGTCCTGTTTTGCATCTGGTCACCATAAGGATTTTGTTCTCGCCATTGACTAAATCTGATTATCCTAGTTCAACTGGAACCTTCAGTAGTTTCCTCCCTGGGGAAAAGGAGGGGAAGTGCAATGAGAGTTGTGATGTCAACACTTTCCACACATTGTATATTTATAAATTCTTTGATGGCACTCCTGATATAATTGTTGCCCTCACGCAGAAGCCCATGATAGCATCAGCAAAGCTTGGGCACCAGTTATGAGTCTCCAGTGATGTTTCAATTGTTTCTGAGCCAGTGTGGTGTAGTGGTTAAGAGCGGTAGTCTCGTAATCTGGTGAACTGGGTTCGCGTCTCCGCTCCTCCACATGCAGCTGCTGGGTGACCTTGGGCTAGTCGCACTTCTCTGAAGTCTCTCAGCCCCACTCACCTCACAGAGTGTTTGTTGTGGAGGAGGAAGGGAAAGGAGAATGTTAGCCGCTTTGAGACTCCTTCGGGTAGTGATAAAGCGGGATATCAAATCCAAACTCCTCCTCTTCTTCTTCTTCTTCTTCTTCTTCTTTTTCTTCTTCTTCTCTTCCTCCTCCTCCTCCTCCTCCAGACTGAGGTCACATGGAGTATCAATGATAAGAAGTTCTAGATTAGCCTTGACTCCAAAAGTCCCAAAGATCGTGGCTACAACAGGTGGCGCAAGATTCTTTCCAGTGATTAAGATAAAGCAATAGGAAGGGAAGTCCTGTTCCCAGTTCCCACTACCTGGCCGCTGGGAGTATGCTGCCTCTAAATAGGGAGGTTTCATTCCTTCCCTATCATTATATCTATAGATAAAGCTCCTGCCCCCTCACCAATTGCTTTTGTACACACAGGTCACTCTGGTAATAGAAGGAGAGAGGAAAATTACAAAAGCTGCTACAAATCCAGTGGTAACTTTATGATCATTAAGTATTCTCAGAATATAACTTGTACTGCAATATGATTCTTTTTAAGAGGTCAGTTTATTTAGAAAAAGAACTATACTTAGCCATTATTTGCAGTTATCTGTCTATGCATATCTAACAGTGGCAGTATTTTCCACCTACAAGCTTTATAGCAGTGAACAGAATGTGGTGATTAGCTAACAGTTTTAATTTGTTACCTAGTCAAAACCAGCACCTTTTCCAGCTTTACTCCTGTATGGTTTAAGACTACAGTCCTGTTCCCACTTACCTGGGAGCAAGCCCCATTGAATTCAGTAGGACTCACAATTGCTTTGAAAGTTCAGCTGTGTTCACACATTCAGAATACTTTGTGGGGGCTTTCAGTTCAATCCTATGTGCATCTACTCCAAAGTTAACTCCCAGGTATGTGGCTATAGGACTGCGGCCTTAAACGGAGGAGGAGTCAGTAGCATGTCCATGACAGCTGAACTTTACAAGCCTCCCTGTGATTGGGGCCCCTGCCATATCAGAGTTCCCAATCATGAGAAGGCTTGGAAGGGTATCTATTCAAACAGGGTCGACCTGCGCTTAGGCATTTGCTCAGGTGACACAACAGGAACAGCGCTGGATTTGAGAACCCTTTCCACCCACCCACCCACTGCCAGCATGCAGGACTCTAGGGGTGCAGCCACAACTTTGCTGCTGTACGTCCTCAGAGCAAGGGATTGTGGGCACGTTGGCCTCGGATAACGCCTGCACTGGACCGCTATGCTTTGGTGTATCAAATGCTGTTTAAAATTTACAAGTTTAACATCTTACTACTGTTAAAGTCTACCAGTTTGCTGCTCTTAAGCTTTAAATAACAATTGTCCTGGCAGCAGCAAAGCAATGCCGGTGCTCTCTGAGGTCCCCTCATCCACAATGGCTCACCTCTCTGGGAAGACCCCCTGTTCCCTAGGGTTTTATGTTATATGGGGTATTACCAGGTGGGAGCTTCTGGAAAGCCTTTTCACACACAAACTACTGTTGTTGATACAGAAGGAAACACAAAAGGATGAGGAGGGAGGATAATGTCATGCATGTTGGGGGGGGAGGGGGCAGCAGCCGTATCTCTTCTTCAGGGGACACAGAATGTCTTGCGCAAACCCTGCTGCTGAATCTGCATATTGTTGGAAAATAACTGGGGAATAACAATTAATCCTGAAGTCCCACATGTGTGGGAAATTACAAAAACCCCCGACCAATTGCCTGAAATCTGTAGCTCTGTGGTCTTTAACCCTTCCTTTACAAATAGATATGCATTGCTAGGTTTGACTCAGACTTTTCCACACCTATAAGCCCCCTTAGACTTTCCTGCTTAATGTGGAGATGTTGTGGCTGGAGCAGGCCTGTCCACCTTGACCTCTCCACTTCAAGCCTTCATGCTTACTTTTGACCACATAACTGGAACTTTTGTCAGACTGGAAATATGTAAAATTTTGGTCAGGAATTTTCAGATAGCTATATCCCCCATTTTTTGTTTTTTGCATCAGTTGTCCCGAGATGACCGGGGAGCAGTTTTCCCATTGCACATTTATACAGTGGTACCTCGGGTTAAGTACTTAATTCGTTCCGGAGGTCCGTTCTTAACCTGAATCTGTTCTTAACCTGAAGCACCACTTTAGCTAATGTGGCCTCCTGCTGCCACTGCGCTGCTGCTGCACGATTTCTGTTCTCATCCTGAAGCAAAGTTCTTAACCCGAGGTACTATTTCTGTAACCTGAAGCATATGTAACCCGAGGTACCACTGTACTACGTTTTGTCTTATAGGAGGGATTGGCAGCTGTGAACCCTGTGCCAAACCTAGTCCCACTGAGCACAGCCTTCTAGTTTCCAGGCTGATAGAGGGATTTGGAAGAAGTTGCACCTGTTATAAAACAAAGCACTAGAAGAGGTTTTGTGGGATGAGGCTTGTGCATTGCTGAGCCAAAACTAGTTTCTGATTAAGATCTTATGAGGTTTTCTCCGGAGGAGCCACATATCAAAACATCTTGACCTGCCGTGACACTGAGCTGAGCTGTAGTATCTTTCAGGGCATTTTGATGGAATCCTAGCAGCTCCATTTCACCCTAGGGCAGCTGTTCATATTTTTCATATACTGTCATCCAGCGAGGGTTCCCCACCCACGTATGGATCTAGGACTTAATTAAGCATGCTATTTACTTCTCTTAAGGACTAATTATTGATTCCATGCTCTGTTGTAATACTGCACCTGCAAAGGTAGGATCTACTTCCTAATTATCTTATGTGTGCAATCAAACCATTTCCTCCCATAG